CTTCTTCTTCCAAATTTTATCCAATAAACATTTCCCTGTTTTAGAGCAGCAGAAACATACTAGCACGCAGCAATAGATAATTGCAATGAGTAGGGCTATTCCATGCATGCTCCCGAGCGTCGCCAACACTAACATTATTCCAGTTTCGGCTTCATTACTGAAAGGTTGGATAATGGTCATAAAGAATGCATACAGGACTGTGGAGATTACTATAAGTATTGACCATGCTCTCCTTCCCATTTTACAACGTTTCAATTTCTGACAACATTCCTTCAGCTTGTTCTGCGCTGTTCCACCATGTGGCTTCCTCTTTGCAGGTCCTGGATTCTTGACGTGCACCTTGGATTTTAATTTTCTCCTCATGTCATCGAACACCGTGTTCTTCACGGGACTACCCGTCACACGACCACCGTAAACATTATGTTGACCCCGTGTGCCTACATCCGTTGCATCACTCAAGGTTACAGTGGTCGCTCCAACTGTAGCTGCATTTTCTGTGCCATATTGGCTTGTTCCATTACCCGATGATGTGCCTACTGTACTCGCCTAAAATGTACAAAAAAAAGGGGGAATATACGCGGGTGTTCAGCTACATAGAATGATGTAGATCGTGCAAATAAATGAAAGGACGGCTTATAGTTCTTAGGAAAGAGTTAGGAGCTTATCACAATAAATGTGGTAACTGCCCCAAAATACAGTTGTTTGTTTCATACACCGTCAGCAATTTGCCATAGGCAAAGGACTAGAATAGATATAGAGAGTTTCACAAGAAACGTCATTCTGTTTCTTCCTTTCCCTTTAGAAAATGTTAGAAGTGGCGATATATTGTTTGTATATATATGAATTATAGAATTGTTTTCTCCTTTTTCCACATCTAGGTGTATAGATTATGCGTGTGATACTTCTCCCTATTGGGCGCTAGTAAATATTGATAGAATAAATTTTGTACGAGGTTTACTATTCTTACCTAAGTATGTACACATGAATTGAAACAAGAATTCCTATGCAGAATGCTACAAATACAACATGAGGAAGGTGCCACAGGAACGGATAAGATCCAGTTTTGGATACATGCTGTACGACGCAAAAGTTGACTAAAGGGGTCAACATTTTTCACGAATCTCATACGGGCTCATCAGCTATGTCGGCGTTTTAACGCGGTAATAAGATCAAATTGTGTACACCGGATTATGGAATTCTACATGTGAAGTAGCATTTTATCGTTGTAAAGTGGATACAACGGTGAAGAACATAAGCAGAAGAGTATCAATTATAGCCCGTTTTACATATACGAACGGCGAAATTTTTTTTTTTTTTGGTAAGTGTAGAGCCGCGGGCTCAAAGTTTGCTCGCATCAGTGTTTAGGGGGATTCTTACTATGGCCTATTGGCATACGTATACATGTGTTGTGGTCGTTTATTATTTATGGGGGTAGTGATTTATATCGTTCTCAGGTTTTATTACGGGTAGTGATAAATAATAAATGCAGAAATAGTGTTTCACAACGTTCTTTTGCGTGTATACCCGCATCTCTATCTTCTTTTTGACAAAATGTGAATGGATGTAATTAAGAGCGTAAGGAGCATATATAAATAAAGGATAAGTGTAGTGTACTTGTGGCATTAAGGATTGGGGTTTAAGGTTTCTGGATTGCCACGTTCCCGGATTGCAAAATTTCAGCATTGCACGCTTTCGGGGATTGTAAGGTTTGATTATTGTAACGTTTCCGCATGGTAAGGTTCCATGTTTTGCGCGGTTGCGGAATACGGTTTTAAGGTTCGGGGTT